GGTTAAATATCGGTGGGGTGGCCGATGTCCGATATTCAGTTTTAAGGCCGATACCGATAGGGGGCCCATTATATCGTAAAGCCCTAAATAAAAGATTTAATTCTGATTTGCATCAACAATGATTTCAACCTTGATACTGAAAACAAAGCAAAGGATTTTCTCTGACTGGCTAGATAATAGGAGTTATGTAGCCGTTACCATAGAAACATGAGGTGTCTAGATATACGGCCACATAATAAATGAAAAACATCCCTTCCTTGACAAAAAAAAAAAAAACTTGTTGAACCGTTGCAATATTTTTTATACTGCTTTGTTCTTTAGTTGCTTTTAGGCTGCTGCAGACGCAGAACAAAATACCATGAGGTGTTAAACCACAACCAACCAGGGCACTGTGACTCAGTATCTAATATAAGCAAGCATCATAGCTGATGTGTAACTAGGCCCCAGATAAGCCACAAGTGAGATAAAGGTTAGGTTATCATCTGCACAAAAGTCAAGTCACCACAAAAAAAGTGTTTGTACTTCATTACAGCAGTTCAAACGCCATTTTATCTCAGTCCTGGATAAAGAAATGTGAAACTATTACTGGTTGTAAGTGTCAGTGAAATAATTTATTTCTTGGAAAAATGTATGTTTATTTCTAATAGTTAAGACAATGTATTTTATGTTGTTTGGTTCACGTTTTGGGAATGTGTAAAATGATTGCATTATTTTTTTGTGTTGAGCTATTTTTTGTTGAAAGTTATCGCGAGATTTGTGTATATGTGAAAAGCAACGTGACTTAAATAAACGCAGACGGAGCAGAAGCTTGGATCAGAGCAGCCTTGTGTTTACTGTAGCTGTCAAGGTATTTGTAGTTATGTTTGTAATATTTTGCAATGTTATTAGTTATGGTGTTTTAATGACTTAACATTTTAATTTAGAGTGGACGAGGAAGAATTTAACTGTTAAAGACCTTCGAAGTGGCAGGCGGTAACGAGGTAACTTCAATTAAAGCCAGTGTCACCTGATTTTCTGTAAATGTATCGATATCTAAAACTTTGTCTTCTATTTCTGTAGTTTTCACGGCGTTCAATAAAGAGCCCGTCTAAAGGAAGCCGTGCCAGTGTTGTCTCTTAGGAGTTACACTGGTTTTATCATAGAAATCGGCATTTATCTTGGAAAACTCATCTTTTAAACCAATACAAAGCGTGAAAACGGAAATGATTAGATAATCCCGGAGCATGATGCCTGAGCTCAGAGTTCGGCATGTTCTTAAACTTACTTCAGTCACTTAACAGTTAAGGCTAAACTATTAATTAATATAATGAGTCGAAGATAAATAAAAAGCGGCCGGTTAGCTCAAGTGGTAAGTCCTGCTAACAGGAAGCCTGGGTTCATATCCAACTGCCAGTGTGGGTCTTTAGGCAAGACCCTTCACCCTAATGCCTGCTTTGGGGAGTGGTGGCCTAGTGGTTAGGGCACAGGCGTAACTTTCTGAAGGACTGGTGTGGACATATCCCCACCAATAATTTCAATACATAAACTTTGGCTTTTAACAACATGTGGGACAAATTTCTAAATTTGATTTTGCTGCTTTTGAAGGAGGATAATCACTGATGTAGTTGAAAGGGAAAAAAATCCATCAATCAATCCACATTTTTCTGGATGGATGGATGAACGAAAAATTGTGTGCAAACTAGGGAGGAATGATGTATTTCTGTTGGCATCGGAGTCGGCTGTTATTCATCATTTTTAACCATAAATATAAATATCAGTGTATTTTGGTTTGTTTGTGTTCTCAACATTAAGAAGTATTCAATAAATGTTTGAGCTCAATTTTGGAAAATACAAACCCTATTGAAAGTGTTTTTTGTCGAGTAACTATAGGTCCATCAGCCACCATCCTTAGAGTGTCCCCACCAACTTTCATCACGAAGTTACTCCCTTGGGTTAGGGCATTACACTTGGACTCCAGAGGTTCTGAGTTTAACCTCTTAAAAGCTCTTAACAAACTTAATAACTCAGAATGCATAAAATTCCACCGGTAAAATTTTTACCAGCAGGTGGAGCCATTGCGCGTAGCTCCAAGCTGACACCAAAAGTTCAAGCTCTGGAACTGTTATAGCTAGAGGTCTGATATTTTCTGCATTTGTGGTTGACACGATGTAGAATAAATATAATACAATAAAACCTGCTTTTTCTCAAGAATGTCTTTATTATTGCTGTTCAAAAAAGACCAATCATTTCCGAAAATAAAAATGTTTGAACTGATGCAGGTTGGTTTGTGTTTCAGCCAATTTTAATTTATATATCAGGAAATTAGAGGGTGTTAGCTTTCAAATAATGTATGGCACATGTAATTTGGGCTTACAGTTCCTAAGTTATTTGCTTTTCCATTTGGGTATGCGAAATATGTGAGGATTACCCAAAATGAGATGGATGTTAAGAGGTTAAGCCCCACTCCCACTGACTGCCACTCTTAACCCCATACTGCTCCTTGGGCGCTGCAGCCCACTGCATCTCCAACGGGATGGGTTAAATGCAGAGAGTTAATTTCGTTGCTCTGTACTTGTTACAGTGTAATGACAATAAAACGCTGGGAAAAAATAAATATTGACCTCTCCTCAGGAAGTGGCAAATCACCAACAAACTCATCCAGAGATGACAAAACTGCCACTAAAAACCCAAAGAGAAGTACTACCTCCAAAACAGAACTGAAATGCTTTGGGTTTTGTTTACTGACTCTGCAAAAGACTGACTTTGTCTTGCTAGTTAACCAATAATTATTTGTGTATTTAGTATTGAACTTTCAGCCCAAGATGGTCAGGTAATGATCAGTGCCTAATGCTACGTTCACACCAAAAGCAGCAAAAGCAGCAGAAACATGTGTGCTGCTTCATTTTTGATGCTTGTACAAGCTTAGTTCGGTGGAAAAGTGGGTCTGATGCGCGTTGGGCGGAGCTACCCGATCGTTTCTTTTGCCTGGCAGCTATATATGATGTAATCATTGGGAATAAAGTAGTTTTAATATGTTTTTAAATCAGAAAGTCCACATTAAAACTTCCTTAGTGCAGTCAGTTCATCAAGATTATGATCCTGCATTCAAATATTTCGCTGTCGGAGCTGCTTAGACCCCACATGCCGGCGGTGAGCTGTCAGTAGGAATCCCATTCAACAGCAGCCTCTGGCCAAGTCGTCACTTGGCGGTTTGCCGCAGTAGCTGGAAAGCTGTTTTCATGCATGTTATCCAAACTGCAGGCCTCACGATAATAAAAGCAAACATGTTTTGCAGATTTCGGCATTTTAAGTTTATTTAGGCGTTAATAAACTGTTTCATAGGAGTGATCATAGTGATCTGTATCATCAGCAATGTGTCTTTCTCCCTGCCAGCTCCCAGATCAGCTTCTCTGATTGGCTGATGTGGCGCGTTGAGCAGCAAAAGCTAAAATTTTTGCCAACTCGAGCGGCAGCTGAGTTTGCGGCGCGTCAGATGCTCAAATGCTCAAGACGCAATGCTCCTGCTGCTCAAAACGCGCTGCCGGCCGTTTTGCTGCACCTTGACACCGTCAAATCATTGACTTTGCATGTATACTAGCTGCTCCTGCTGCCTTTGCTGCTTTTGGTCTGAACGTAGCACAAGTCTGTCCTGATGCATTAGCATGCTGTACATTTAACACAGATTATCTTAAGAAAAATGCAGAATACAAAATAAAACAACATAATCGTAGACACCCTTACATCATTATTGGTTCAGGGCTTAATGTTTCACAAAATAGTTTATTTACATATGCTACAAACCACATGTAATATGGGTTTGAATGACGTGTTTTCAGGGCTCACTTCCCTTTGTGTTTCATATGTTTCTCTGTTTGATGCGAATGGTTGCATTACCTCCTAAATGTGGCTGCAAGTGCAAACACCAGTTAAAACCGCTGTTTTATAACCTTCGTTTTGTCAACATATGGTCTAATAAGATATCTACAATCATCTCATGTAACTTAGGAATCAAAATACAGTAAAGATGCCAGTGATATCAGCAAAATAGATTTTTGTTTGTTTAAAATGCATTATTAAATTTGCAGTATACAGACCTTAGCAGCAGTTTCCTCGTTTCCTACTTTTACTGATTCTTCTAGGCTTTGTTTTTCCGTCATCGTCCTCTCCAGCTGATCATTAGCCTGACGGAGCATGACCTGCAGCTTCTTCACCTACAGGAAGAAATTATCAAACGTGAGCTTCATGTCAAACCATGAATGCCTTCCTGTGCAAAGAATCTCAGCTGAAGAGGAGGATGTTGTCCAAGCTTACCTCCATCATGGACAACACCTTCCACCCTCTGCACCAGACAGTAAAGGAAATGAGCAGCTCCTTTAGTCAAAGACTTTTACACCCCGTTTGTAAAAAGGAACGCCACCGCAGGTCATTCATCCCTGCTGCCATCACAATTTTCAATGCGGCACTATAACTTGTGCAATAACTAAGGTGCAATCACTATTTAACAACCTGTGCAATAAGTTTATATAAATACGCTGATGAAGGTTCTCAGTCATCCAGGTCATAGTCATTCCGTAAAAACCCCTAGAATCATAGACAGGTTCAGATATTACAGGCTAACGATGGAACTAACGACCCATTCATCGGTTACCATTGCATGTTTCCAAGCGATACAAGGCGTTGTCTATATAAGACTCAAACTCACTGCGGATCCAGACATTTGAATTGAGAAAGCTTCCTGGAGAGGTGGAGAAACGTCTTCAAATCTTGAAAACCAAGTCCAGTGGATATTTTTTGAATTTTTACGGAAAATTTATATAAATACCTATACAGATATATATATACACTACCGTTCAAAAGTTTGGGGTCACATTGAAATGTCCTTATTCATCATACTTATCCTTACTTATCATGTTCACACATCTGAAAACAGTTTAGCTTGTTACATAAGCTACAAAATTGACCTTTCTTTAAGGATTGAGTTTCTGGAGCATCACATTTGTGGGGTCAATTAAACGCTCAAAATGCTCAGAAGAAGAGAACTTTCATCTGAAACTCGACAGTCTATTCCTGTTCTTAGAAATGAAGGTGATTCCATGCGAGAAATTGCTAAGAAATTGAAGATTTCCTACAACAGTGTGCACTACTCCCTTCAGAGGACAGCACTAACAGGTTCTAACCAGAGTAGAAAAAGAAGTGGGAGGCCGCGTTGCACAACTGAGCAAGAAGATAAGTACATTAGAG